GCTCAATACCCAATGGTGGCGTCTTGCTCTCAAAAGTCATTTGAATGTCTTCTAGGAATTATTGAATTGTTTATTGATCTTGTAATTATTCTTGTGTCTCTGGTTCCGTCTGATGTTTGCCACTTTGTTAAAAATTTAATACCATATTTTAAAATAGTTATTTGGGCTGATAACACTATATGTGCAAATATTGGAATATGTTTGCAAATATTGAAGTATATTTGGTATGTTTCTCCCTTGATTGAATTTGCTTTCCCCTCGCACCTCTTTGTCTGTATTTCTACCATCACAGTTTTTTCTTCCCCTACCGCCCCCCCCCCAATCTTTTGTCTTTCTTAAAGAAATCTAAGAATCCCCTTGTTTTTCTCTGCCATTTGAACACCTGGGGAACTGCCCCAACCAAAGATGATAAAATAAAATTCTGAGTACATTGACTCTTTCTTCATTCCTGCTCTGTGTGCAATTCAGAGCTGTTAATGTAATAGAATAGCACTTCCTGATGATGGTTGCATGCAGAGTAGCTACTCTGGTGCCCCAGACACTATATCTAATTCCAAGACTAAAAACTATGTTAAGATGGAGTTAATGTAATTTCAGGGTAAAAGACATTACAGAGATGTTGTAATTATCCCAAAATCAAGCATTACAAACCTCAAGATATTCAGGGTTAAGGTTACACTTTAACAAAATCAAACATGATAAAGTATGGAAATATACAGATAAGGCATTCAAACAACCTTAACTCTGCCCTGTAGTGACATAATTTAATAACTTTACAATTATTATGATAGAGGCATTTTAGTGATTGTAATCTCAGATTAGATAAAATTTATTTTTAAAGACATGGGCAGTTTTTCCATATTTTTTCCCACTTGGGGCCTCCATAGTAGGTATGAATTCCAGCAGGGCTACAAATCATCTACAGAAGTGGTTCTCAAACTTTTGTACTGGTGACCCCTTTCACATAGCAAACCTCTAAGTGTGATGCCCCCCTTATAAATTAAAAACACTTCAAAATATATTTAATACCATTATAAATACTGGAGGCAAAGTGGGGTTTGGGGTGGAGGCTGACCGCTCATGACCTACCATGTAATAACTTCGTGACTCCCTGAGGGGTCCCGACCCCCAGTTTGAGAACCGCTGATCTACAGCAGGGCTTTATTGAACAGCCTGGCAGCCATAGCAGAGCATTCAGGGTAGCACTACTATGTGCCCCAAAACTCAGGCAGCATTATCAACAGACTCACTCTCTAAGTTTCAGAATCTGAGCTCCTGCCCAAGTTATGACATCTACACAGCTATTTTAGCGCTGTAGGGTGAGCCCTGCTAGCTAGAGTCTGTCAACCTGGGCTCTGAGATTCGCTGCTGCTATCTGTATAGATGTACCCTGTATGTAAAGAACGGTCTCTTAGCATTGTACAGAAGGTCTATTAAAGACTAGCCTTTCCAGACTCCCTCCTTCTTCTGTATGCTGTTTATATTGCTATCCACTTCATAACCCAGCAGGTCCCTACCCTGGGGTGTAGGCAACTGTTGTCATTCCTTCCCCCATACCCTTATTTATAGATAAGGTAACAGAAGGTGACAAGGTGCCCTTAGGCAGAGAAGGGAATAGAATTCCCATTGTTAATATGGTAGATCTAAAACTCATCCACTTAGGCAAACTGCCTCTCAGAATGAATGTATCAGATCTATGTGCTTGGCTATCCTGTCTGTGACCACTGCTCTAACCACTAACCCACTCTTCCCTCCCAGAGCCAGCAACAGAACAGGGATCCTGATTTCCCATATGTCTCTCAAAGAGCTGTGTAAATCACTAACAAAATGTATCACATTCCCATCTAGTAGCTCAGGGGTTCTCAACCTTTTTCTTTCTAAGCTCCCCCCCTCCCCAACATTCTGTAAAAACTCCACAGCCCACCAGTGCCACAACTGTTTTTCTGCATATAAAAACCAGGGCCAGCATTAGGGGGTAGCAAGCAGGGCAATTGCCCAGGGCCCCATGCCACAGGGGCCCCACAAAGTTAAATTGCCCAGGCTTCGACTTGAGCCCTGGGTGGTGGAATTCAGGGCCCCAGGCTTCAGCCCTGCACGATGGGGCTTCGGCTTTCTGCCCTGGGCGCCAGAGAATCGAACGCTGACCCTGCTTGGCGGACCTCCATAAATCTGCTCACGGCTCCCCTGGGGGCCCCGTGCCCCTGGTTGAGAACTGCTGTAGTATCTGATCCACATAGAAGATAATAGCCTACTAGCACCACTTGTTACTTCTTAGCTCAAGTGATAAAGGTCTGTGCTATGGAGCTGAAGGTCTCCCGTTCACACACGGTTGATGACCATTGTGTAGAAGATCCCTATGGTTCCTGCTTTGTTTAATTAAAGATTATATCATTATGCATGCACGGAAGTAGGCGGAACTAAGGTTGCCCTGGTAATCTTAATGCTGGGATTTCCTGGCTTTCCAGTGCTTGGCTTTGCAACCTTAATGTTATTTTAATATAGCTTTTTTTGCTATGTAATTTCCCAGGTTGTTTGAAAACAACCATCACATACAGGGTTTTTTCCCCGCAAAACTGAGGAAAAGCAACTAAAGTAGCAGAAATGCCCTACAATTATAGGGTGTCTGAATATGTGTGCGCGAGCATGGCAATATTTTTTTCCCCATTCACCCTGCCTTCTGAGTCATTATGTGCCAGCGCTCAGCGTGGCTATGTTAGTGCTCTGCTTACCATCTTGTTGTAAATCATGTTTTTATACCTTTTGAAAATCTACTTCAAATGTAACTGGAACAAAGAGCATCAGAAGACGGCTGCATCCCCGAATAAAAGGCCGTTATGTGGAGCTGCCAGAACATTCTGAGGCTGACAAAGATGAGATGCTAATGAAGGGGTGAATGGTCTCCACACTTGCAGTATATTTTCTTTCCAGTGCTCTCATGAGAATCAGGGCTAAACTTTGAACACGGTTTGTGCTAATTAGCTCTTTTTTTTATTAAATATTAGTTGATCACATCATCTTCTTCATGCAGTATGCTCAGTTTTATTTCATTTTGCAATACATGAAGATCTGTGGTCTTGGTAGCATTGAGAGAAAATGCAGTGTAATTGTGGATTGGCTAGCTATGAGTACCAAATCTGATACATTGTGACATATAATGTGTTTTAATGATCATTCTATTTATATTTTCAAATAAAAACATCAACAATAAAATACAATAAAATAAAATAAAAGTAAGTATACACTAGTCTAAAAAAATGTTTTTGCCCCTTACTTTATACACTGAGGATATGTCATATCAAAGTCCCCAAAATGAAAAACACAGCTTAGACAAATCTTAAAATAAAAATAATCAGTTTTTCTCTTTTTTGGGGGTGGGTGGGAAGCAAACAGCTAACATATTATATTTTCAAGTTAAAACAATTTTCCTTCAAGAGTCTTGGCCATTGACATAAAAATCTCTTAATTTTTGACACAGTTAAATAGCCCCCCCCCAAGTCAATAATATTCATAAAACATATAGTAAATGTGGACTTGTATGCCTTCCCCCCTTTTCTTTCTCTGCAATTCCCTGTCACGTTGAAATTGTGCTCTTGCATGAACCAAAGATGTTTTGTTTCTATTCAGAATTTGTGCTCCCACAGGGTTGTCTTGTCATCTAAAAAATGTTGCTATCTAAAAATGATCAAACATGTACTCGGTAATAATAATTTCTTTTTAAATATCGTCACAGAGGAAAATCAGCAGAAGTTGATATATCATAAGAAATCATTGGGGGATAAAAAAAATACAAAATACCACTAACTAGCTACTTTAGTCTCACTTTGTTTTGCTGGTCCCAGGAGATCCAACTCTCTATTCCCATTTCTAGTTATGGAATATTTCAGCACCCAGAATTCTTTGACACTGGGAGAAAAAAAAAAATCAAGATATGACACAAAAGATGGTTTCTTCCGACAAGTCTTTTCAGAGTCCAACTGTTCTCCCTTTTATCCCTTTTTTGTGAAGGGGGAGCACGCACCTTCTGTCCTTTAGGTAAGAGCAGAGCAAAGCATCTATATTTCACCTAGGGCTTTTCAAGTGGAGTGTATGAAGGTTGTGTGACTAGCAGACTCTTCCACAGAGGATCCTTAAACTGAGAACTGGGGCCCGGGGGTCGGAAGTCATTGGAATTAGTGGGAGTTATTCTATTGACTTCAGTGTGCTTTGTCTCTATAGTGTTACTATTTGGTTAAAGCTTTATCAGGTATCTGGCTAACTACAATTGTTCATGTTCGTCCCTGGCAGATTTCACTACCTAAACACACCACTCCTATTTAAAATTGATTTTGGTGTAAAGGTTTTAAGTGTTGTGTCTTACGATGCGCAGCCACAGCATTTCACTGTAGATGCACCTGGGAGTTTTTCCACTGGTTTTCGGTTCTTCCTATTTTATCTTGTTTTACGTTGCTGACTAGTAGCTGGCAAATCAGTTAATCAGTACATCTGGCACAGAAGCTACAGCCCCCTGAGATACTGACTGTATCTTGTCTCTGGCACTGCTGATTCCAGCTTGAGTTCTTGCACCAATGCTCTAAATGGGCAGTGGTGGGGAAGGGAATTGACCACTCCCCTGTGCCACCAGTCAGAAACAAAATGCCTGTTCTAACCTCACTTATGTTATGGCAGTGTACTTTCATTGACTTCACAGGGGTCTTCTGATTTACCCTGGTGTATCTGAGAGCAGAATCAGGTGCCCCAAAAGTTTCCAGGCCTAGATATGCTGTGTTGAAGAATCTCTTTTCTCTATGCTCCTCGGGCATCAATCCACTAGCTTTTGCAAGTGTGCTTAATAAATGGAGCTGCAGAGCAATGCTGCTGCGTTGACTGTGCCATTTGTCTGATTGCAGAAAGCATCTCCTCCCACTCTTACTCCAGGAACTCTATTTGATCTAATTCCTCTGGAAAGCCACATGGTGACTACATCCAACATTAACTTCTTGTCTATTTAACCCCTTTCCCAGGTACTCCACCTCTTCGTTCTCCAGGCTGGAGAGGGTGGGTATCAGGCATCCTGCACCTTTGCCTTTCATCGGAAACCTGCTGTTCTTTCGCCAGGTAAGAAGGGTTTAAATAGGTATCTATCCAAAAATGTTTTAAAAGAGCAGGGGAGATGAGGGAGGAGGGGAAGGGAGAGAGTGAACTTGTAACTACTGATCACTGCTCTTCGAGCATCTTCCTGGGGACATAACAAGCACAACTCACCTTTCTGACCAGAAGGAACATAGCAAGCAGCCACCTATAAGAGGCACTGATTTAAGGACAAAATTAACCAGACAGAAAGAAAGGTGTAAGCTTCTGAAGCTAATTACTTGAGCTTTTCCAGGAAAGTTCATGACCTTGGTGGAGTAAGCTTGGTTATGTGAATAGAACAGATTATATTAACTAGCTCTGACTGGTTTGTTCTGAGCAGTTTCAGTTTATACAGCCCTCTGTTGCTAATTGTACATGTTTATTTCAAAGCATGTAACTTTGTCTACTCCCAATCAAGTAAATGAAGTTAGATACCATTAACTAATACTGCTCCCTGTCCCCAGTTTTAAGGTCTTTTTTGAGGGAGGGGAGTTTTGTTTAGTTTTATTTTTGTTTGCTCATGTACAACAAAAGAATTGTTTCATCGAGAGAGATTTTGTTTTATGGTGTGATTTCAATAAAGCTCCCAAGGACCCAATCTCTCAATCTGAGTTTACAGTGGAGAACCATCATTTTTCAGGTATGGAGTGTTAAAGTCTCTCCCATTCACATTGGTGGCTTTCCATGTTGTTTTTCAAGATTCCCAAGCACTTTGTGAAAGAAATCTGGAATAACTCCAGTGTTCAGGCCATATCCCCCCCCCCCCCGCCCCCCGCCGAACAAAAAGGCTTAATGTCCAAGATTGTCTGAGAGATGTTAATGAGAGTATAGTTCTTTTTGCTGTCGAAGTGGTTACACTGCCAGTATCTGATTCATTATTTGTTAAGGCATTTTGAGATACCTGGAGTATTAATGTAAATCCAAATGCAATTCTATGGTGAAACTAATTTAAATAGTTGTTTTCACATGTGCACCTAGTTTCAACCAGGAGAGAATTTAAAAGGTTGGATCACCTTAACAAGGACAGGAAGGCAGTAATGAGACATGGAGCTGGTTTGAAACCAGCCCAGAGACTGAAAGTAACTAATCTCTTGTCTCTTTGATGACAAAGCACAATTGATCCCTTTGCTGGCACTTTTTCAGCAACAGGCTGACAGAGAACTGAGTCACCCTCTTACCCCTAGAGGGAGTTGCTCTTGAACAGGGTTGAAGCACTGATGAGAGTAGTGTGGGGAAGTTTTCACTGCTGTTACCTCAGCTTGTACTTAGACAACTTTAGTGAAACTGGTTTCTTTTATGTGCACCAAATTAACATAAACAATATAATGAAGAGAAAACACATGCTATTTTTTTTTAAATAAAACAATTTAAAACTGATGTGCAATTACAGTTTTATGTTCATGCATGAGTAGTTAGAAATAAGAATTCTGGATGGGATTTTAAACCGTGCTTAAGTGTCTTAATAGCACAAGTCCCATGGATTTGCAGTCCTAAATCATTTAGGTTCTTTTGAAAATGCCTCTGTTCTGTTGTGGGTGGGCATGATCAGTTCTATCACTGTCAGTAGGAGCTAGGCACATGTCGTATTTAGTCCAGGCTCTTTGTAATTTGTTTTTCTCCCCTGATACGTTCTTCTGTATTTTCCTGTTCTGTTTCTTTGATTGTTTTCTCAGAAATAGTGCCCATAGCAACACACTGGTAACAGGAAGACCATGTTTGTGCTGCAGGCTGTTTTCTAATGGTAACATTTGCACATACACATGTACTGTACTGAACTCAAAAAAGGACATCTCCTCCTCTCTCAGTAGGAGATAACCAGAGGCAATATGTCATCTTACTGGGAACTAGGATGGATTTTATGGACTAGTTGTAAGGGCACAGCAGCAGTTTGATGGCTGGGTTAGTTTCTAAGGACAGCTCAGATGCAAGAAGTAAAATGCTTGTACATCCCATCATCATGTATAGAACAAGTAAAACTTTGCACTTACATTTGAGATGCAATAATGTGATTGTATATAAGTGATCTTATAAACAGCCTTTCTTCCAAGCCTCTTTGAAAGGCCGAATCCTTCTCCCTGTATTCAGCATTGCCAACCCCCTGCATTCAAAAATCATGTCAGGCCTGCCAAAATCATAAATGGTTTAAAAATCATTAGATTTTAAAAATATATATTTTAAGGTTTTTTTGTTTGCTTTCTGGATTTTGGCTGCACAGGTCACATTTTCAAGCTTTTCTTTGCAGCCATGAAGGCTAGAAACTTTTTTAAATGAACGCTGAAATTCTCCCATAATCTCATAAATCCAGGAGCTGGAGTTTTAAGAAAAACACCAAATACCACAAGACTCACAATAAAATTGTAAGAATTGATAACACTTATGCTTACTTGTATAGCTGAATAAAATCTATGGGCCTGATTCTCCTCTCACATAAATCATGTAAACCAGGTGTAGCTCTAGTAAAGTTAATGGGGTTAATGCCAGTTTTATTTCATCATATAAGTGAGAGGAGTATCAGGCCCTATCTCCCTTTCTCAGATTGCCTTGAAATGAGTGGGAAGTATTACTAATGTGAGTAGGATTTTGCCCAGAGTGCTTCTTTTTTATTATAAACCTACAAATCAAATTTCTGTTACAAAATTCAGACATGTTTTTCTATATCTCTTCTGTTTAAACAAAAACACTTTATTGAAGAGCATGTATTGTTTAGTTTAAAAAGTAAATGTAGTGTTTGTGAAATCTCTGGCTGTTGGCTGGAATGAGGGTTGCTGCTATGAAGTGTCGTTTGAGAGCTGGAAGATGGTGGGTGTCAAGGGTGGATGGTGGGGGAAGAAATTTGTGGGGAGGTGCAAGGAAATGAATAAAAAGGTAAGAGCTGACTTGAAACAGCAAGTTGTTCCATTACTCGTAAAATCCCACTTCTCTTTTAAGAACGGGAGAGAGAGCGACAATAACACCCTGAAATTAAAACATACCCAAGTTAATCTGCTAAAGAAAAGAAGATATGGAATTATTGCAGTCCTGCAGCTGGGAAATTACCTCAGAGTCCAAGATATTAGATTAAAAATACTTCGATTACATCAGAACCATTTGCAGTGGGCAACATCTGCTGCAGGAGTAAAAGTGATTATGCTGTAAAAACATCGTGTTTAATTTTCCCAGTAACTGAGCAGGAGATTTGCAGCAGACAGAAATGCAATTTCACCAGGAACACTTGAGTGTTTCTCATCCTCCCCTCAACGATCTTGCATTTTTCTTACAAATCTGTGGGAAAACCAATGGGTTTCCTCCCCACCCCCCACTTGGAAGCATAACTGGATACACAAGGCATACACAGAGCACACAAACAAAACAGGGCATTAGAGCCACAGGCTATTTAAAAATTGAAACTCTTAATTCACAAGCTAATGGTTTTATTATGTGACAAATACGTTTAAAACCTAACATATATAACACGGCCCTTCCCCCAAGGAGCCAGAGAGAACACTTGACCTGTTGCTCTTGCAGTGTTATATCCCCTCCCCCTGTCCCTCGCCCTTTTCGAAGAAAGCAGTTATCAGTTATGCTGTTTTAAAATGTCATTATCTTGACATTTTAATGGTTCTAGTAATCGGGTACTTTACCTGTGGGCACTGTGTACTATTCAACTTGCTGCTGATCTTTGCTGAGCTGAAATATGTCATGTTCTTGGGGTCGTTTTTTGTTGTTTTTCTTTTTTTTTGGTGGGAGGGACTTTTATAGCCAATTGTACCTTCTAGACTGTTGGGTGAGCTGCTTTGGGTCCATACATTGGCATGCTTATATTTTAGTTTTTCCCCATTATTCATTCGAAGCTTCAACCATGCTTGTGACTGGTTGTGTGCTGCCTCCCTGCCTTGCATTTTAATGAACGACATCGCTCTTTTAGCCCCTCTCTCAGCATGGACAAGATGCTCTTTGTTTGCTCTGTTTATTCCTGCTTGGGTTACTTGTCGTTCCTGGGCTTCCCCTGAGCAGCCCTCTTCTGCTGAATGGAAAATGGGCACTGTATGGATGCTTTGTCTCCTTCAGTGTTGGATTGGGCTGGGCTGAGCAGTTTTATGGAGTGAAGGGTGTGGGGAGAAACAAGAGATCAAATGTGATTCTTTCCCACTACATATCTGCCCAAAGCATCCTTTGATATGCAAGTCAAAGAAACAAACAAAATGCAGGGCCCTTGCCATAATGAAATTAACTCCTGTCTAATTTTTGAACTAGAAAGCAGCACATCAGTGTTTGGAGACAGAAGCTGCAGCATTGAGTGTTCTGGAATTTAATGACACAGCACGTAAACCAAAGCAAGGTTTAAGAGAGACAAATGGTGAGGAGAATGGGAGGGAAAAAAGGGGGAGCTCACAACTAACCTATCAGCCTGTGTTAATTGCAGGAGTAATATAGCTTTGCACTGATAGTAAAAGCTTGCATATGGTTTTGTGTTGTTTTGTAGAGATAAACAAGAAGAGAGGAATGGAATGGGGAGTGTTTGTTTGCCAGTTGATTGATATTTAAGTGGGAACTGGAAAACAAGGCCTTGTCATAATGAACAGATCTCTCATTATCTTTCCCGTTTGGTCATGGACATATATTGTGGGCTGACACTGTATCCTGTAAAAATGTTACTGGGTGGTTTTAGTCATCTCCAATGCTTTGGGAAAATTCTTTTCACATTAGAGGCCTGTTCATATATTTCTACTGAATGAAACGCATGCATTACAGATACAGCCCTAGCCACTGCACAGAATGCTGTATTGTACTGGGCCTTGATTCATGGTATGAATGTGCATATATCTGTGTATACATTCTCTCCTCTTAGCTGTATCAATCTCCTTTATTTTGATTTGCACTTGATACTGCCTCCCTTGTACAGGACCCAGTCAATTTGGTTCTGCACATGGTCTAATAGGTTTAATTTTTAAATCTGGTTTTATACAACCCTAGAGCTCTTGAAACTAAGGGGTTGTAAGTTCTAA